GAGGGGATTGTCTCCTGTAATACCTGAAACCTGTCTACGATTGTTAAGGGTCGGTCATTAAGGAGGTATTGTTCAACGGCTGGAGCGGGTAGATACTATGTTCCTCTGTGATGGGGTGGGGGGGTGGTGATATCTGGAAGGGATCATCTCTATAACTGAATTGTAAGTTTTTGGAAGCTGGTAGACTCAGATTGCAGCTTTCAAAAACCTACAATGCAGCAATTGAGTTGATCCCTTCCCGCTATCATCATCCTTCACAAGGGAGCAGAAAACCTTGCCTATTCAGCCAGGCCAACAACCCCCTGTATCGACCCCCCCTTTCAGAAACTTAAGCCTGGTTTATGCTCAGAAACCAGGTCGTCTGCATGTGTGTTGCAGTTAACGCAACACACCTCCCCCCCTTCCGCAGACACTCTGGTACACCTCCCCAAAATTATAGGTGACCGCAGACAGCGTTGCAGGGAGGATAGAAAGGAGGTCAAATCTACATCCGCTCCACACTATGCGTATTTCCTGTTTGTTACACTACTGGCTTGTTTTGTTTGTATGACCGCCATTGTGGAAAAACGACCCCTGAACATGGACAAGTTGAAAGAGCGATAAGCTCAATGCAACACTGCTGCCGGAGGACAACCAGCCCATGAGACGAGTATGGGGCATTGCAGGCTAACAAAAGAAGCCAAACAGGGTGGACTGTTCGTCCGTTTCTATTTGCGTTGCGTTGCAATTAGCGTTTACTAAACAAAAAAGGTAAAATCTTGAACTCAATGCTATTTCTGACTTTATGAATTGAAAAGGCTTCCTGGATGGGAAGTGAAACATCTTCAAACTTGTCCAGTGGAATGTTTTTTTTACTTTTTTGGGATGACTCTGACCTGGATGACTGAGAATCTTCACCAGCACTTAAAGTCGTAGGGAAGCGGCTGTTGCAACCGCTGCATTTCCGAATTCTCCCGAGTGGTGCCCGACTTTACACGAGTGAATAAAGTGAATGTGACTGGTCGATTATCAAGGAGGCGGGATTGTTGTGGCAGAAGGTTCGCAAGCAAGATTGGTTGTGGTTTGTCGGAAGCATCTTGCTAACCAGTTGGCAACTTAGTGCTAGCAGGTTCCCAATAGGAAATTACATTGGGTCTCCTCCGTCATCCATTTTTTATTTAGAGGAGGAAAGCGGGGACGAAGATGTTGTGGAAGAGGACGCCAGGGCGGCAGAAGCTTGGTTTGGTGTAGAAGGCTTCCAGCCGTACATGTTTG